TATTTGGGCAGAAGTAGGCAGCGTGAATGAAATCAGTATACAAACTTTTCTCAGACTGTTGACGAACTCCCAGTAGAAATGTTTTAGTCTAAGTCCTTGATACAGAATCAAAAAGTATTGTCTGACAACATTAGACTCTTCTCCAACCCGAGTTTTCTTATACATAACAATGAGGGCAAAAAGAGGCATTGCGGTAACCCATATAACAAGTATAGGTAAGCCCAATATTGCTATCCATTTGCCATGCTCTGATGAATAGCAATCGATGTCAGTGTCAATTCTTGCCTTCATAATTCCTTCATCTATCTTGACTCATCTAAATAAGTTCATACTCTCTTGAGCGAATTTTGGATGCAGAAGGAAGACAATACTGACAAATGAGATAACCAAGTTTCTTGTCAGGTTTGGCACCCACTTTGGTTTGATGTAGTATATCAAAACCCATATAAGAGCAACGAAAAGAAAGATGATCAATGGCAACCAGATCAAAAGGAAGATCTTAAAGAATATAGATGACGGAAATGGCCCTTTGATTTCAGAATCCATTACAAATCAATCAAATGATAAGAAAGCCTCTGAAGAGCTCCCCACTGTTTCTGCAGGAACAAGAATATCACTAAGGGAGCTAGGGTATTTGGTACTAAACGATAAGCTCAAAGAAATAATCTGAACATAGTTCGTAAGGATTCTGAGTAAAATAGAAATCTCACTTTCACTTGTCTTTCTGACATTCACAATGATAAGAACCATGAAGTAAGCAAATACAGCGAATCCAACAAAGATTACTCTGATCGCATTAAGTATTGGATTTGGACATTTTTGGCATACGAAGCCACCCACAGCTTGATATTTATCATTCTCAGTGACACTTCATTTTGTGCAAAGATTTCCCTGATATCCTGTAGCTCAATTAGTGGGCTGAATTTTTGAGTTCTGATAGCCCCCTTCTCAAGCCTCTTTATTTATTCATTCAATAACTGATGTGGAATTCAAAGAAACTCTCCAGTAGCCAGGATTCACATTGATTTCAGTTCCTCCAGAACAAATAGCATCATCCATGCATTGGCTGCACTCAGTGCTATTCCAAGCAAAAGAATAAGTCCCAGCTGAGCAAGTGTTGCAAATGTTGTCTACAATTCTCTCCCCAGGCTTGCAGAATCGAGTGTCAACTTCAATCGTATTATTGCTGATTGGATTACCAAAGACAGTACTGATTTTAGCCTGATCAATTGCCTTTGATGATGCAGTTATAATCACATCTTGATTGCCAGGGTTAGTGTGAACAATAAAATTATCAAAGCTTGCAATTCCATTGACTAAAGGCTGAACGTTAAATCCTTTCATTTCTGCAACAGTTGAATTTGCAGCAGTCAATGAAATTTGGTTCTGACTGTCAAGCACCATTACTTGGTCGTCATAATCTTTAACTGCAAATTTAAGAGTTTCATCGTAAGTAATTCCTGGAGCCAAATCTTCTAATTTCATCACATCAGATGGAGTTCCCTCAAATACTATCTTGACAGCATAACTCGCTATGTTTTTACCGTACTGGGCAGAGTTTTTGAAGTATTTAATGCCTTGACCAAATGTAGGCCTCTTATAGTCATAGTACACAGAGCCCCCTCTTTCAGTTGCATTGTTCAGCTCAAATATTGAGCTTGGGATGGCTAAACTTCATAGAGAAGTTGATGTGCAAGTGAAGGCGATTGCACCTCCATCATGAGCAGTATTTTGTCTAAAGATGTTGTTGCTCAGTGTAACATCAGAGTTTGTTATGTGTAATGCTCCTCCATTGATTTTACTTGAGTTCCCATTATTTTCAAAGGAGGAATTTTGTAATAACTCTACTGTACTTGATTCAATGTACACTCCATCTTGACAGTTCAACACATTCATATTTGTAATAGATATCATATTAGAACTGAGAATCCTGACTCCACTTTTCTGTGTATTTTTCAATACAGCATTTGACAGTGAGATGTTCTGAGATGATTCTAATCTAAGCAAGCTTCTTCCAAGCACTTCAGATAAAGTTGAAGTCAAGCCTGAGATTGTGCTGTTATATCAACTCGAGATAACCCCGAGTTCGATTGCATTAGCAATGAGTCCATAGGTCAACCCTTGAATATTCACTTGCGAACTCCTGGCCCTGAATATGATTGAAGTTGAGTTCATAATACTGAGAGTGCTGTCTAGAGTGTCGAGGATGTAGTCTACTTGATCGGTCACTGTGAAGTTTATGAAACTCAGATTCCTCAGTGATATAGTAGAAGAGACTCCTCTGATAGCAATGGCTTCCATTGTAAAGTCTCTGATTACAGTGTCAGTTATTTCAAGAGTCGACACAAATGAATCGACAACTAACGATTCCTGATTAATTTCTGTTGCCGAAACCATTGACAGAGAAGCAAAGATCAAAGAGAACTGGTACTCGTTATGTGTTTCAGACATTTCAGATAGAAAGTTGGCACTAGAGTAGTCTCTGAAGTTCTGGTTGACAAATCACAACTGTGAACATGAAGAGAACTCTGAAATAATAGATGCTTTTGAAAAAGCATGATTCAAATATATCTTAGAGTTTGATATCACTGAAGTTTTAGCAGTGTCAAGCAACTGAGAAACTGGGTTTTTATTAGCATGATTGTTGTAAATTAGACTATCATAAATTTCGAACTGACCATTCGATACCACATTAATGACACCACTCGTGATTGCAAAGTTCCTAGTAATATTGCAGGAGTATATCTTGATGACACTTTGCTCTTTCACATTGAAGACTCCTCCATTTAATGCAGAGTTATTCTCAAATGTTGAATTGGTAATTACTGTGATGGTATTACTTGAGCCTCCAGAGAGAACTCCTCCATCCTGATAAATATACATGTTCTTGAAGCTAGAGTCTGAGACGAAGAGTCTGCCTTCTTGCTCAACATTTAAAAACGAGGCTTCGTTCTCCTGAATGTTTTCAGCTGTGATATTAAACAGATGTACACTGGCCAGCAAGTCTGGGTTCTCTACTTTTGTGGAGGCAATGTTGATGATCCCTTGCTTAATGTTCATAAACCTTGAATTTGAAATGGTCAGGTTGGAAGGTAACTGTTGGTCAAGATTGAGTAGATAGCCTTTACTCTTGAACTCAATGTCACTGAAAGTCAGGTTATCAAAATTTAGCACTAAGTCTAGATCATACTGAATCCCTTCAGTTCTGATGATCGATATCTGACTTACGAGGTTACTATTAGTAAACTCAATATTTTTGAAATTGATTAATCTCGTAGATGGAGGAGTATTCACGAAAGTCGGCATGGATATTAAAGAGATCGATGAGTTCTGATACTGTATCTCACCAATTTCAATATTCTCTGTAGAGTTCAAATCAATCTGGCTAACTAGAAAAGAAGAACTCGATATATCCACTGAACTTGAAGAAGAGACATTTCTGAAGATCAGATTATTGATTATCAGATTCTTAACACTAGCTATCTGTATCAAAGTGTGACTTTCTGAATATCTGACATTTGAGAAAATGATTCTTTCAAAGATCAAACTTTGTACTGGAGATGTTGCTGACAAAACCCTATAGAAAATATATAGTTAATTTCTTCATGGAAAGCCTTATCTGCATTTTTAACATGGCAGATGCTAAGTTAATGCGAAAATTCCTAAAATTTTATTCAAATTAGTCAATAATTTGAGCAAGATTCAAATGGGTAAAATCAATCATTAATCTAAAGTAATTCTGTGAAATTTTAACTTGAAATAGAGGTCTTCTCTAATGTTAGAGTATAAGAAATACATTTTCTAAACTTTGTAAAAACATAATGATATTCTCTCAATAGCTTAAATATCTGTTTGAAAGAGGTACTTGAAAACAGAAGTGAAGGAATCTACTATAACATATATAATTTACACTTGAAAATATCAATGCTTTCATCTTGTATTCTTAGCTTTTCCAGAATTTACAAATTGTAAATAAAGTTGTGTAATAATACACTCTTTGTAGAAAATTAGGACTTTCAATTTCTCAAATAATTTCTGACAAAGATATAGCAAGGAATTAGTAAATGCTTTAAAGTAGAGAAAGAGACATAATAATTGCTCTAGAGCTGTTAGCCTCTATCTTTATGCTCTAGATTACCAAAAGGGTTACAAAGAAGATTCTAAGGTAGAGTTAACTTACATTGGCTTCTGATTTTTGAGATCAGAGTTTTCAATCACAAAATCTCGGATAGTCCCATTCTGAGTAGGATTATTGGTCAGACTAACCAGGTGACCTATTGGAGAGCTGTGCCCTGTGAAGTTCCTGAAGGTAATTCCTTCAATGTTGATGGTATCTGAATAATCTAAGAGTATATGCCCATTTGGATGTGAAGGAATATCTATGATTTTAGTGAAAACATTACCTTCAAACGTCATATTTTTGAACTCTACCATTCCTATAGTAAAGTTAGTAATGAAGAAGATATAGGTGATTTTTGGCACGAAGGAAAAAGAGCTCCGTAGTCATCAAGCTAGCTAATTTATAACAAGAATTACTTTGAGAAATAACAATTGCGTTGTAAGCTCAGCAAGATTAATGTCTTAGTTTGGATTCAAAAATGTGCTCTAATGGGGAGTAAAACTTATTTTTCAGGAATCAGAAGAGTCTAAGGCTAAGTTCTTGGACACTAAATTATTCCCATCAAATCAGGATAGTTACAGGAGCTCATAGTATTGTCTTCTTCTTCACCATGGCTTATTTAAATCCATTAGTGGGTAATTAATAAAGAATGTTTAACGATGTTAACCTCCATTTTGCTGGTGATTTAATTAAATTTATAAGAAGAAAAATATGACTATTTTTTATTTTAAAATATCTTGGTGAGGCTGAGAGAGGTTCCCAAAATTCTGATGAATCTAAGATGGATATGGCTCACTGCTATTTTAGAGATGGTAGATAGCTCAAATTACAAAATATTATAGAGATAAGACGAAATTTATAGAACCACCATAGAAATTGATTAGAAATACCCAAAAAGTGAAATATTATGAACAAATTTTGATCAGTTTTCAAACTTACCTACTGTGATCCAGACAGAACTAGAAGTACTATCGTAGTCTTTCAAGTGGAAATTTCTCAGATTCACAGTGTCTCCTGAAGCCAAGAACATGATCACATAGGCTAGAGATGCTCCGTAAGCTTTCTCTAGATTAAGGTTAGATACATTAATAATCTGAGGGCGGCTATAAGAGACTCCACCAGTTATAACAAACATGTTTATCTTTGCCTTAAACACATTGTCAGGCAGAGCTGTGTGCACTGTGTCTATTTCCACTAGCTTAGTCAGACCATCTGAAGGAATTCAGGGAGGTTCGATAGATATGAGGAAAGTTGACAACCCCAACTGTGCAAGCCCATAATTCGCAGAAATATTAATATTTATAGCGGTCACATTTCCAGGGCCAGAATAATAGAGTACATTGGGTCTGTATGCTTCAGCCTCGTCGCTCAGTACAGCAGCAGTGAAGTTATTTACATAAAATGTGGGAGTCCAGAAGGCTTCTGGGTAATTGCAATCAGGCCAAAACATGATGCCAGCAATGACTTGGTATGTATTCATAAACAAGTTCTCTAAGTGCACATTGCATGGATCTTTGGTGTATAGCACAGTTCCAGTCACATGGAACTCCACATCAGCTAAAAGATTATTTGAAAAAATTGACAAATTTTGGAGTTTTTAATAACTCCGAGTCAACTTACTTAGCTTAATTTCCTTTCGTTGGAGATACAAGAGATATATAAACACACCGCTTGTTGTCGTTTTTGCAATTCTTCTTGTAACTATTTTTGATATTCCAAGTGAAGTTCTGACTCATTGGAATGTATCTCCTCCTCTTCCAATGGATCCCATCTCAGCATCTGAAAAATTCCCTGCAGAAACTACAGATCCAATGTCTAGGGTAAGATCCTTCATTAAATGGAAAGCTGCTTTCTTGCTCAAACCTTCAACTATAGCATCTGTAGTTGTGATGGTAGCCATGCCTTGAGAAATAGAATTTTGATTATAAGTCGAAACAGACACTTGTGTTACATTTATGAAGAAAGCAGTTGAGTCTTGGATGAAGACATTTGTCCCTTCTTTGATAAAAATACTAACTTTCCTATCTTTATGAGAATGTTGCTTCAAAATTTCAGCAAAAACAGGTGATATAGTTCTGTATGGATAAGCTTTCGTGCCTAGCTCCATTATTTCTTCACTTGAGGGGTCCACATAATAATCCATACTTCTTCAAAATGAGCTAAGTTTATATTGTATAGGATCCGAGAATTGGATAGTACCAACTGGACAGCTGGGCACTCAGGTCATGGTTTCAATATTGAGAACTTCTGTTGAGTCACACACGTAACATCTTTCTTGGTACCCTCAGTACCCATTACAAGAATCAGCTCAACTATTACATTGCATAAGTGAAAAATCATAGAACTCTCCATCAGGTCAATGGTCACACATCCCTGTCATATCATCCATAAACATATAGTCATCACACTCTGTACACTCTCCATCCTGACTACATGTCTTACAGGAGCTCTCACAAGGAAGTCAGCTCCCTCCACTATCATAAAAGCCATCTTCACAACCTAAAGCTATTCCGAAGAATAGCCATAGTAAGAGAATTATCATCGAATTATTTTATTTCAAATGGATTTTGGACTTATGGGGTTTTGGGGTTTTGGGGTTTTGGGG